CATGATCTCTATTACTACCATGAAGATATATCAGGATTTTAATCAGCTGTCAGTATATTTCCATAGGGAGAAAATGATGAAATGATTTGAACTCCAGTGTGTTCCTATGTCTGACTTTTATGCCAACAATGAAGCCCAATACTCTTCTTGGTGATTTAGATCAATGTTTTGAGTCAAGTAGAAGCAGCATTTCCATTTGGATTTTCTTGATGGTCCTTCCCGGTGGCCCAGCAATTGAGCGCCATGCTGCGAAGCTGTCCTGCAGCCTCTGCAGCACTGGTCTGATTCCCCACAGGCCAGGGAGATCCCCAAATGGTGCAGCAGACCTCTCCTGCCTTACCCTCTGCTCCCCTCAGCAGTATCTTCTGTCAGTCTGCCTGTTCTGCTCCCCTGATGGCTTTGGTCTGGAGTGGGGGTGGAGTCCACAAAGCCTGCATGGAATTAGCTCAGGACATCCTTTCCCCCTAACAAAACGACCAGAATAGGAGGGGAGGACAGAGAAGGTAGCCCCCGTGTCAACCAGAAAGGAGATGGACTTACCTGCTACCTTGACCGTTACCCTGAGCTCCTCAAAGGTTATCGGAGTCGATGAGTTTGGGCCTCTTCAGTCCTTAGCTGCTAAACACAAGATCGCCGGTGGCAGGGTTTCAGGGACTGGAAGGACTGGCCCACCCCAGCCAGGCCCACCATGGCCAGGTGTGGAGGGACAGTCACTTTTCCAGTGACCCCAGATGGTCCTGGCAGAGGGCAGGTGTTGGGGCAATGTTTGGCCAGTGGCCCTCCAAGTCACACTTGAAGCAGGCTCCCGGCGTTTGGGGCCCATGGGGCCCATTGTTGTTCTCTGTCGGGAGGCAGGTGCTGCGGTCATTGGAGGAGCAGGGCCTGGTGGTCTCAAGGCAGCTACTAGGGCCTGAGCTTGAAGCTCAGCCTTCTGGCGACTACGGAGTTCCCTCTCTGCCCTGTCCTGTTCCTCCCAGTTGTTAAATACTGCAAAGGCCATATTCAGTAGATCCCGGATAGGGGTTTGAGGACCATCCTCAGCCTTCTTAAGCTGTTTTCTAATGTCTGGGGCTGAGTGAGATATAAAATGGCTACTGTGGTGCCTCCAGGCAAGTCAGAGTCAAGCCTGGTATGGTGCTGGAGTGCCTCAGTCAGGTGGATAAGGAGGGCAGCAGGGTTTTCTGAGGCAGACTGGGTAATCTTCCTGAGCTTATCTTTAGAGGATCAGAGAACACAGAAGAGGGGTTCGGAGAGGGCTAAGAGTGAGAGGAGTCTCGAGACTTTGAAAGTATGGCAGGTTTTCAGGAGGGAGGGAAGGGGCGGATGCAAGAGAAAGATAACCTGGCCCTAAGGGAATTTCGGGCCATTTTTTCTGCCTATGGCAAAAGTTAGAGTCTAAGTTGGTTAGAATTTGGGGGTCAAAAGAGCCCATTTCCGGCCACCTAGAGCCATTGTCCAACTCATATTTGGACCAGGCCATGGTGCAGTAAAAATGAGGCGAGTAGGTCTCACATCCAGCTTTAAATGTAGAGGGCCAAGGCCCTTTAGGAGGCACCCCAAGAGGGTGTCTGCCAGAATGCGGGATTGCAGTGGTCCCATAGTGAGTGTCCCTCTTAGGATCTCAAACGGAGGATTGGGGAAGGAAGCCGGCGTCCCAGCGTCCCTGGCCCGATCCTCAGAGTGAAAGGGGAAGGCGGCGTCCCACCATCCTCTTTACCTCCAAGAAATAGGTCGGGTCATTCCCCTGAGGAGACGTCTCACCTCAGAGGGAGCCCCAAATGGAAAGCGCGGATCAAGAGGGGGTAGCGATCGCTGAATAAAAAGAAGAGACCCCCGTGATCCGAGGGACCCTAGAGGCAACAGCTCACCCTGGGAGAGTCAAGAGCCAAGTGCTGGTGGTCCACAGATCGGCCAAGTCTTTTCATTCTTCATGATTATTTGGCGAAGTGCCGTAGGAAGAGAAGGTGGGCCAACAGGAGGAAGAGGAGGATGGCCCCTCCAAGGGAGAAGGGAAGAAGAAGTTGTTGAGGTAGAAGTGGCCACATGGATTGGAGTTACCAGGGAAGCCCAGTAAGGGACTAGAGCAAGTCCCTGCTCCACTCACATGTCATTAGAGGCAGTGAGGGCCCGTTCTCCTGCAGGGAGGGGTGCCCCGGGTCGCATACTGGCGGCTATTAAGCCTTCGGAAGAGGTAGAGAGAGAGAGTGAACCAAAGGGAGAGTGGAGGGTTCGGGACAGGGCAGGGTCCCCATGCGGGATTGAACTCCGTTCCCAGCCAATGTACCAGTTGAAAGGTTCGGAGCAGTAAAGAAAAGGAGAGCCAGGCTAAATTTCTCAAAGGAAGGGAAAATTTATTGCGCCCCGGGTGGACCCAAGGTGGAGGTCCGTGAAGCCGTGCCCGTTGTGGAGAGAGATGTCTCTTTTATAGGGTGAGGAGAGATTAGGCAGGAAAACTGGGTTGGTGGGGGGTGGGGGCAGATTTAGGCGGAACAAAGTTGCTTTTCATGGAGCCGAGTTGCTTTTCTCTTGTTTATGGCTTCAGTTTGGGTTTGATGGTATCAGTGGGTACTGCTGTCAGGGCCATCTTGTCTTTTTCTATGTGGGCTTCCTCATTCCTGGCCCCTGCATCAACCTTTCAGCTCCCAGCATGAAAGGGCCTCCCCGGGTGGCTCAGGCGGTTGAGCACTGCGCTGTGGGGCTGTCCGCAGCCTCTGCAGTGCCAGTTCAATCCCAGCCTGCCAGTGAGGGTCCCACATGGCACGGCAGACCTCTCCTGTCACATCCGCTGCTCCCCTCAGCAGTGTGTTTCCTCAGTCTGCCTGTTCTGCTCCCCACTCTGTCTCTGGTGAATCCTCTCACCCTCCCGCATATCTGGCCTGTACCCCGGTTCTTGTATAAACAAATAAATAAATCTTTAAAAAAACAAAAATGCAAAGGACTAGTGGAAACAACTGCCAGAAAATAGGACTCTAAACAGTCTACTGGACACCTTGGGTTTACAGACAACCTGGGAGAAATGCAGGGGGAGGTATGTAAGGACCCCTCATTGGACACAGTATCACACAGTCCAAGACTTATCCCTGCATTAAAGAGCCTCCAAGAGTTGTCTGGCACACACTCTATTATTTTAGCAACTGCACAGAAACCTTTAAAATTAAGCTGTCCTTTTTAAATGACACGTGACTCCTTAACCCCCATTCTGCACTCAGGTCCCCACCCACCATTCCTCTCCCTCTTCCTTTACCCCAAACCTGACAAGCAACCATGACCAGTGAAGAACTCAGGAAGTGTTTATTTCCAGAGGGGTGAAGAGCCCTGTCCACACCATCAGCTACGTCAATGGAAACCCAGGTACAGACTCTGCTCTGCAAGTTCTCACCCCAAGACATGCAACACAGTGTCCCCAAGCGGTTCATTCTCATCAGGGGGCACGTGTCTGACCCTGACATGGCATCAGGGCAGAGCCCATTTCCACTCATATTGGATATGTGATTTGCCTGTATCTACATGACACCTTTCTCTTGTTGATGTATGTTTCCTTGGAGAAAACTTTACACATTTCTACTTTTACATTTCAGTTCATGAATTCTCATAAAGGGCATAAACTCAATGTACTACAAGTGAAAGAAAAACAATCTGACCTGACTTATTCATTGTATGCTGCTCTCACACATGCATAAGGACTCTGGAGGTGGCGCTGGGAGAGGTGAATGAGTCCAGCAGGTGAGGACTGAGGCAGCTTGCACCTGAGTCGAGTCTCCTTTCCAGACCTCCCCACACTGCCTGGGAAAGACCAGAGAGTCACTGCCTGTGACAGCTGAGTTCAAACTTCACCATGGCATATAATTCCTTTCTCCACCCACTTTCCTGCCCCCTCCCCCATCTGTCCTACCTGCCTGTGTCAAAATAAAACTGATTATCCAAGAAATTCAAAGTTCAGAAACTTAAAAAAAATATATATTTTTTTAATCACATACAAAACTGTTGACCACAATTTCACAAGAAAAGATGCATCTAATATACTTTTTTTGCTAGGACACTCCCAAAAATGGTTCCCTGAGCCCTGCTTCCTTACATTCATTTCTTTGGATATCCCCTTTGGCAATGATTTGGATTTGGCTTGGGATGTTTGCCCAAAGGGAATCAGTGAGGATAAGCATAGGATGAAAAGCACTTTTCCCGAGGTCCTGCCTTCTGGGACACTGTCCTCCTGGGAAGACACCGGGGATCGCCTGTCAGGGGCACATGGCTGAGTGACAGCCACTATAAACCCACCAAAACGGCGGTGAAATTCTTATACAAACACCTTCCGTCAGGCACAGGGTAACCACAGCCTCCTGTGTCATCCCAAATGCACCAGCAAAGGACCTGGACGGGAAAATAGACACCAAATGCAGAACCACCCAACTTCCAGGAATAAACAGGCTAGGGTCTTTATTTGGGTCAGTTATAATCTTGGGTGGAGGGTCGCACGGAAAATGCTGAGTGACTGATCTATGCCACACGCAGGGCTTCTAAAAGGTTACGTGGCGGGGGCCTCCCCAGTGGCGACCCACATGGCGCGCGGACCTCTCCTGCCGCCCGCTGCTCCCCTCAGCAGTGTATTTCGTCAGTCTGCCTGTTCTGTTCCCGGCTCTGGCTCTGGTGAATTCTCTCACCCTCCCGCGCTTCTGACTGTACCCAGTGCTTGTATAAATAAATCTTTAAAAAAAAAAAAAAAAAAGGTTATGTTGTGGGCGAGGAAATCTTAAAATTCCAGGACACAATCAACTGACGTCACAATCACATTTAGAATTCCTGAAAATACGCAGGGGTGTCACCTGGAGGGACTCCCCTGTGTCCAGGGCGGGGTCCCCGCAACTCCACCCGCACGCCCGAGCCTCCCCCGCCGGGCGGACCCTCCAGCGCGCCTGTTCCAGGGCCCCGGGGCTCCCCGCCTCCCCCGCCTCAGGCCTCACCCGACGCGCCTCTACCGTGTCCGCAGCCCCCAGGCTCCCCCTTCTCCCCACACCCGCACTCAGGTCCTCAGTTTCACCGCAAACCCAGCCTTCGGACACAAAGTCCAGGTGACACCCGGGTGCCCAGCAGCCCAAAGGGCAGTACCGAAACTTCCGGCAAAAGGTGGGCGGGCAGGGGCGCAGCCGCGGAGAACCTGTAGGCCCCGCCCCAGAGCCTTAGGCAGGAACCGCGTGGGATCCAGATTACATTTCCCACGATACTGTGAGCCAGCCGTGACGTTGTCAGGGGTGGATTTTGCAGCCTGGAGGTGGGATCAGTGGAGGTTGAGGGAAAATGGACAGATGGGCGGGGACACTGAACATGGGGGCACCAGAACTGGTTCAGGGCTGAGGTGAATAGGAAAGTAACTGGGTACCCCTTGGGGGTGAAAGGGTTAACGTCTCAGAGCTTTCACGGTATTGGCAGCGTTTGATGCTACAGACCTCTTTGATTCTTTCATCACCGCACCATCCCCCACACAGACGGCCTACACCCCCAGTTCTTGTATGCAGAAAAAGATTTTTTTTTTTTAAGTAGGGAACCTTGCTGTGTACTCTTTTTGTGTGTGTGGCGGGGGACACCCTTGCCGGCGGCCAGGGAACGAACCGGCGCTGCAGCGGCTGCGGGCAGCCTCGCAGCTCAGGGCTCAATGGTTGCGCCACCAAGGGTGGCCCCCTTGCTGTGTACTCTTATAATTGGGTTCCGGATTTGGGTTCCTCACAACCCCCCTTCTTTGTAGTTCCGAAGCTGCATCCTCAGAAGGGTGGAGCATGAAGACTCCCTGGTCAGCCATCTAGATCAAACTCCAACTAAGGCATTTCTGGTGTTTAAATTTTGCCTTCCTGGTCCCCAGAAGACCAGCAGGGGACAGTATCCTTAGACTCCATTCTATCCTTGCACAGCTGCCTTGCCCAGTATCTGCTGAAGGCCACCAAGGCTGAGCCGAAATACCCTCATTCTATTTCTTAAAAAACATCAGTGTGAGCTGCTGGCACTATCCTGGCTTTCCCCTAAATGGAATAGAGTGCCTCCATACTACCAGACACCTCCTACAAACAGCCCCATTTTAGAAGTAATTGCCTCTTCCAAAAATAACCAACTGCTGCCCAAGCCAGTGACATCATGAAATGCTTCCCTACACACACCCTGCTCTCCAGAATACTTTTTTTTCCCAGCCATTGTCATTCCTCAGTAATGTCTCAATGTATTTACATGTTGGATTAAATATATATCAAATCTAAGACAATGTGTGTTTGAAGGCCATTAAAAAATCCCTAACTGGAGTGTTTCAAAGATCCTGAAGATTGTGTTACTCCAGGTAAACTAAGGGAGAAATACAGTATGTATTCCTTAATGTAAGTAACTAAGTATTGTCTATTGTCAGTTCTGTGGAAATTTTACCCAGGGCCAATCAAGAGGAGGCCCTTAGACTAGAGAGGCATGACAATGTCTGCATGTGAAGTCAGGTGAAGAATTTATATTTCCTTGTGATCATGCAGAGTGTTATAAAGGAGTGTAGCAGGAACCTCTAAAAGAGGGTCTAGTGTCACTTCAGAGTCCCTAGAGATAGTTTTAGGCACAAAAAAATGGATGGCAAAGCACCAATATCATGAAGTGTTTGGCAAAATTCTTCAAAATACTCCAGCATTATATTAAATACACTCAACAATATCCGGGGTTACTAACAGAACAAAAAAAAGTGTGTAGTTCTTCAAAATACAGTCAAAACTATTTCAAATAAAAGGTATCTGAGAACAGAGCCTGCTAATGATGACATAACACTGTGTAGACAACCACCTTATTGTTCTCATCTGTTACTAAAAGCCTTAAAATGGAATTGGTTATTGCTGGTGAGCGACATGTTATCAAGTACCCGTCAGGATGACATTAAAAATCAGCATTATTAAAAAATATATGTATGAATATAAAGTTTACAGTCTAAGTAAGACATTCAGATACTATTGTATGCTATTTCGTAAAAGTCAGGATTCAGGCATTTAGGAAGCATTCTGGACCTTCTGATACCAGAATCCCAGAGTTAAGTGTTCAACATAGACTCTTTACTAAGCTAATGTGAATGGATAAGAATGCCATGCCCTGTTGTGAAAGTCACCTGGTCTTTCATCATGTGCCTGTGAATATTTCTTTTGGCAACATCAAATAATATTCACGATCTCTATTACTACTGTGAAAAACATCAGGACTTTAATAAACTGTCAGTGTATTCCCTAAGGAGAAAAAGATGAAATGACTTGAACTTCAGCATGTTTCTCTGACTTTTATGCCAACAATGAAGCCGATGACTCTTCTGGGTGATTTAGATAAATCTTTTGAGTCAACCACAAACAGCATATCCATTAGATTCTTCATACATGATGTATGACACCATCTTAAATTTGCCAGAGCAAGTTAGATGTGAGCAAATCCATCCATTAGAGAAGGGTCCCTTAGATGTTTAAGGCAGCAAAAATCAAACTCGACATCACATACCTATGAGAAGCCATAGAATGAAGTGATGTAGGGCTGAATTTCATTCCTCATGTCTCTTCATATCCCAAGTATGGTTGATAAAAAAGGACATAGAAAATAACTATATATGTCCCCAAACCATTGTCTTCACCTTTTGTTTTTTAAAGATTCATTTTATTTATGCATACAAGAGCTGGGGTGTAGGCCAGAGGTGTGTGTGGGGGGGGGGTGTGTGTGAGGATTCACCGAAGATGGAGTGGAGGCAGAACAGGTGGATATACAGAAATATACTGCTGAGGAGAGCAGCAGGCAAGACAGGAGAGGTCTGCTGCTCCATGTGGGTCAGCTCCCTGGACAGGAATCAAACTTGTGCTGCAGTGGTTGCCAACAGCATCAGAATGCTGCAACTTCACCCCTTGAGCCACCAGAGAGGCCTCCTGAACTTTTAAATTATACTAACATTAAGTGTTTTAATCTTGGTTTATGCTCCAAAACCATATTCTCATTTAAGGCAATGTCTGACAAGTGGAATTAACTTCTTACTGCACTGTAATGTCTTAATATGCATTTAATTTTCATCATAAATTATTCTCCTCTTTTCACTTCTTTATAAAGTTTCCAGTATGAAAATCTGGTGGTTTCAAAATATATATTTGGACAATCCATTCATCAATTTCCATTGATGGGTTTCTCTCAGTAGGCAGTCTTATGTTGAGGATGATTGGACTTCTGGATAATCACTTTGCCATTTCTGGTTAAACTGCTGGACTTATGATTAAAGAGACTAAAGTCAAAAAATGGACTTCACAATTTTAACACTTCTCTCTGAAGTGAATTTTGTGATGTAGAATAAGACCTGACTTCCACTTAAAGGCCTTGCCACATTCTTCACATTTGTAAAGTTTCTCCCCAGTATGAATTCTATGATGTTGACTAAGATTTGCCTTTTGGTTAAAGGCTTTGCCACATTCTTCACATTTGTAAGGTTTCTCCCCAGTATGAATTTTATGATGTCGAGTAAGACTTGAATTATTATTAAAAGCTTTGCCACATTCTTTACATTTGTAAGGCTTTTCCCCAGTGTGATTTCTGTAGTTGTTAGAAAGATTTGACTTGCAGTACAAGGCTCTGTCATATTCTTCACATTTATAAGGGTTTGGCCCAGTATGAATTCTGCGATGTCGAGTAAGACTTTTAATATGTTTAAAGTCTTTGCCACATTTGTTACATTTGTAAGGTTTTTTCCCAGTATGAATGTTGTTATGATCAGAAAGACTTGAGAGCCAGTTAAAGGTTTTGCCACATTCTTCACATTTGTAAGATTTCTCCCTAGTATGAATTCTATGATGTCGAGTAAGACTTGAATTATTATTAAAAGCTTTGCCACATTCTTTACATTTGTAAGGTTTTTTCCCACTATGAATTCTGTAATGCTCAGAAAGATTTGACACCCAGGTAAAGGCTTTGCCACATTCTTCACATTTGTAAGGTTTCAGCCCAGCATGAATTCTGTGATGTCGAGTAAGACTTTTAATATAATTAAAGGCTTTGCCACATTGTTCACATTTGTAAGGTTTTTCCCCAGTATGCATTCTGTGATGATGTGTAAGATTTGACTTACTGCTAAAGTCTTTGCCACATACTTCACAGTGGTAAGCTTTCTGGCCAGTATGAATTCTCTGATGCTGACGAAGACATGACTTCAGCTTAAAGGCTTTCTTACATTCTTCACATTTGTAAGGTTTCAGCCCAGTATGAATTCTATGATGTTGACTAAGCTTTGAATTAGTCTTAAAGGCTTTGCCACATTCTTTACATTTGTAAGGCTTTTCCCCAGTATGAATTTTGTAATGCTCAGAAAGATTTGACACCCAGGTAAAGGCTTTGCCACATTCTTCACATTTGTAAGGTTTCTGCCCAGTATGAATTCTATGATGTCGAGTAAGTTTTGAATTTCTATTAAAGGCTTTGCCACATTCCTTACATTTGTAAGGCTTTTCCCCCGTATGAATTTTGTAATGGTCAGAAAGACTTGAAAGCAAGCTGAAGGCTTTGCCACACTTTTCACATTTGTAAGGTTTCTCCCCAGTATGATTTCTGTGATGTCGAGTAAGATTTGACTTATACTTAAAGGCTTTGCCACATACTTCACATTGGTAAGCTTTCTGGCCAGTATGAATTCTCTGATGCTGACTGAGACTTGACTTCACCTTAAAGGTTTTCATACATTCTTCACATTTATAAGGTTTCTCACCATTATGAACTCTCTGATGCTGGGAAAGGCAACACAAACTTACAAAGGTTTTACCACAGTCTAGACACATGTAAGGCTTTTCTCCAGTATGACTCCTTAGATGTCGAGTCGGCTGTGAATGCCGACAAAAGCCTTTAACACGCTCTTCACGTTTGTGCCGTTTCTTTCTCTGATGTTCAGTAAGTCTTGAGCAGCATTTGTTAGCTTTGCCATATTCTTTACAATTGTAAGGTTTCTCATGAATTGTCTGATATTGGAGAAGTTTTGAGGACTCCTCAATATGCTCTCGTGTAGATTTTTCATCTACCTTTTTAATCAGAGGATGTTGAGAATGATTTGACTGAACGTTTAAACCTATCCCACGGTGACAATGTTTTGAATAATCATTTCCATTATGGACAAGGGGACTATCCAAGTGTTCCAATATTCCTCTCTGAGAATGTATCTTGGTAAAACTATCACATGGGTCTTTGCTAACAGAAATGTATTTTTCTATACATGCAAGAGACATAAAATGGAGTCTTACCCAACATGGTTTACATGCTGGATCAGTTCCTGCAGGAAGAATTTTACTATGGATAATTGTTCCTGCTTGGCAATCTTCATCGCAATAACCATTGTGCCCTTCACATGCCTCTTGACATGTCCGGTCTTTCAGTAATTGTAAATTCTCAAAGGTGTCAATTCCATCATCTCCCGGTCCCACATTTAGGAACAAATCTTCTCTGCCTGACTGTTGCATGGAGACATGGTCGTCTTGAGAAGACATGGCTGTGAGACAGCAAGGAATAATCACTCCACTTACAGCACTCAAAAAAAAAAAAAATATTTTAACTATTTAATATATAAAGCTAATACCAAATAAAGAGCCCCGGCATGATGTTAGACAGGTAACATCAGCACTAGCTAGCAACACATATGCCTACGAAAAGGTCATGTCCTCAGGAAAAGATAAATACATAGCAAATACACAGAAAACGGCATGATATATAATCCTACAGCAAAAATAGTTTCTGCTTGAGAATTTGGATAGATGGCACCAAAAAAAAATAGAACTATGTAGTAGAATACAAATATAATGAGACATAATTCGTGATGTCCATAGGGATAGAAATGGTAAACAGCTGAGTTTTGGTATGCGGTTGAATTTACATTGTTTTCAGTTTAGATAAGGCTGTCATAACTTTTCAACATGTTGTCTAATCCCCATTGTGACAAAAAAGATACCAGTAAAATACATGGAAAAGGAAATGAAAACGAGAATGATGTTATTATGTGTAATAGGTTGGGTGACAATGCTTTACAATGTTTGTAAATAATATTACAAACCAATATACCTCAATTAGTATATGATGTGTGAGCAATTGGAGGGAAATCACCAACAAGAAAGGAGAGAGGAATAATACGGAGATGCACTAGGGAGGAAATGAGGTATAAAGAAGCTGAGAATACAGGAATCATTTTCTAATAAAGTTAATGCCTCCCTTGCAGAAATACTTTGTGTGTAAATTAATTAAAAGCCCGCATGAAAATGACAAATGTGTCTGAAGGAATTAAAAATAAGACCAATTCAATCGTACCTATATGAAACTCAACAAAGACTGTAGTGCACCACGTGGAATGTAAGTATGGAACTAGATTCTGTGAAAACATGATTATGAAAATGGAGTGTTGACTAATGATAAAGGACTGATCACAAAAATGTACAAAAAGCCAATGAGACTCAACAAAAACTAAGAAAATAATCCAGTCAAAAAATGGGCAGAAGAGGGCCTCCCTGGTGGCGCAGCGGGTTGAGCGCCACGCCATGAAGCTGTCCGCAGCCTCTGCAGCACAGGTTCGATTTCCGGCCAGCCAGGGAGATTCCCACACAGCACAGAAGCCATCTGCAGTGTCTTCAGTCCTTCTGCTTGTTCTGCTCCCCGCTCTGACTCTGGTGAATCCTCTCACACTCCCGTGCCTCTGGCCTGTGCCCCAGTCTTGTACAAAAATAAATCTTTAAAAAAAAAAAAAAAAAAAGGCCAGGAAAGCTAAAAAGAAACTTCTCCAAAGATGTAATGCAAATGACCAAGAGGCATATGAAAAAATGTTCAACATCACCTGTAATCAGGGAAATGCAAATCAAAACTACAATGAGATACCATCTCACACCAGTGAGAATGGCACATATTAAAAAAATTGGCAGCAACAAATGTTGGCAAGGATGTGGAGAAAAAGGAACTCTCCTGCACTGTTGCTGGGAGTGCAAACTGGTCCAACCACTATGGAAAGATGTGTGGAGATTCCTCAACCTACTAAAGATAGAGATTCCATATGATCCAACAATTCCACTCCTTGGTATTTACCGAAATGACATAGAAACATTAATTCCAAAGGGCACCTGCACCCCTATGGTTATAGCAGCACTATTTACAATAGCTAAGCTTTGGAAACAACCCAACTGCCCAAAAATAGATGACTGGATCAAGAAGATGTGGTACATATACACCATGGAATATTACTCAGCAATCAAAAAAGATAAACTCGTACAATTTGCAACATGGATGGAGATGGAAGGGATCATGCTCAGCGAAATAAGCCAGAAAGAAAAACAAAAATACCAGATGGTCTCACTCATAGCAGGAATCTAGAAAACCTAAATAAGGGACCAGGAAGAAGAATAACTATAATAAAGAAAAAATCAAAATCAACAAGCAACTATAAACCAGAGACACACTATGTGGGTGTGGTGAGGAGAGGAGGGATTGGGGAGAAAATAAGGGGGGGTGCAACTGTATGGGGAATATAAAAAAAAAAAGAAAATGGAGTGTTGATGACACTAATATCAAAATAATATAATCTGAGTCTACAGCATCACAGAATGAAAAGAATGCCCCAAGAAAATAAAAGAAAAGTACATGTATTGGGAAGCATTGTAATACTACATACACACTAACATGAGGTCCTGAATGTGTGCAGCACACAAAGACAGACCTGAATGCAGAACAGCAGAACAATAAAATCAAGGAGAGGTTCAAGCCCCATTTACAACTGGAAGGGAAATAATGATATAAATTCAAGAACTTGAGTTGACAAACAGGGGTGAAAAACAATTCTGAAAGGATTATGTGGGGCCTCCTTGGTGGTGCAAGGGGTTAATATGCAATCTATGAAGCTGTCTGCAGCCTCTGCAGCAAGGGTTCGATCCCTGGCCAGACAGGGAGCAAACTACATGGTGCAGGAGACCTCTCTTGACTTGCCCATTGCTCCCCACGGCAGTGTATTTCAGTCGATCTGCCTGTTCTCTTTCCTAACCTGTCTCTGATGAATCCTCTCACCCCCTGCACCTCAGGCCTGTACCCCAGCTCTTGTGTGCATAAATGGATGAATCTTGAAAAAAAGAAAAGGCAGATGTGGTATATACACAGGATGGACTACTACTGAGCTATGAAAAAGGACACATCGGACCATTTGGAACAACAAGGATGGAATGCTGGGGAAGGATTATGCTCAGTGAAATGAATCAGGAGAAAGACTTACTAGATAAATTCACTCCTGTTTGGACTTTGGAGAAAGAAAGCAAAGAAACTGACAATACAAACCAAAATAAAGTCCAGAAATAGGATTGCAGAATGCAAGGTACGGAAGAGGGAGGGTCAGTGGGTGTGGGTACGAAGTGGGAGGGGATTCAAAATCTATGGAGAAGCCCACAATGCACTGGTGGTGGGTGTGGTACTGCAGACATCTGAGGAGATGAGAATCTATTCCCTGAATCACGTAGAGCAAGGTAACCCTGAATCACCAAATCCTTGACTCCAAAAAACTAAGAAATACTGAGAAAACATTAAAACGAAGCAAACTCCCCAAAATATGTGGGATTCAGAAAACAATACCAAGAGGTAAATTTAAAGCATTAAACAATTACACTAGCAATAAGAGGGATCTCAGCTGAGGAACATAACTTCACACCTCAAGGTATTAGAAAAAAAACAATGTAAGCTCCATATTGGCAGAAAGGAAGACATTTAAAAAGAAATAAGAAGGGCCTCCCCGGTGGCGCAGTGGTTAAGCGCTGGGTTGCAAAGATGCCCCCAGCCTCTGCAGTGCCGGTTCGATCCCTGGCTGCCGGCGAGGGTACCACATGGCACTCAGACCTCTCCTGCCGCCCACTACTCCCCTCAGCAGTGTACTACTTCGGTCTGCCTGTTCTGCTCTCCAGTCTGGCTCTGGTGAATTCTCTCACCCTCCCGCACTTCTGACTGTACCCCAGTGCTTGTATAAATAAATAAACAAATCTTTTTTAAAAAATAAATAAATAAGTAAGAAATACATGAATGTAAAATCATGGCCAAAAAGCAGGAGCTCCTCTATGAGAGGGAGTCTGGATTTTGAAAGATCAATAAAACTGACAAAACCTTAGCTCAATTCAGTAAGAAGGAAAGACAGAGGACTCAAGTGTCAGGAAGGAGACCCCCCCCCTCCGCCCGCCACCAGGGAGAGCAAGACTAAGACTCCACGACAAAATAAGAGCATGTCTGCAACCCCAGAAACAGAAATTCCCAAACAAATTTTAGGATGCTTTCCTGTTGACCACTGTACCTCCCACCTGTGTCATCTGCTGGATTCATTCCACCTACCTGGGAGGATGACAGAATTTGCACTTCTCTTCACATCCCAGGGCTCCATCTTTTGCTCCCACAAGATGACCAGGTCAGGTTTAGACACAGCAAGACCTGTTTATTAGGACAGGTGATATAAGATGAACAATCACCTGGAGATTCTCAAATTCCCAATACAATATAGTATTGTGCTCAGTAGAGAGGAAAGTATACAAGGTTCCAGAAAAGGATTGCTGCAAATACTTTTTCTGACAGCACCTTTATCAGAAATCATTGAAATTTTCATATCCCAAGAACCGTATCTAGACCTGAGTCCTGGAATGTGGTAGAAGCTGGGATTGTAGCATATAGCAGTTAAAGCAGAGATTTTCTTGAATGAGCACTAATAGAGACAGCAAGTTGCATATCACCCCTAAGAGAGGTTTCAGTCATGATGAAACAGCATGAGACTTTCTTTCCAACAAACCCACAGTTTTTCCTTAAAGTAGGGATCTAAATGTACCCATAAATCTGGACATCCCAGGAGCATACCCACACACAGCACAGGAAACGCTAAGGGCAGATGAGGAAATCTGGAGGGATGTTCTCCTCACCCAACGACACCATATTTTTGTAGGTCTCTAACATGACATCCCGATACAATTTCCACTGTGCCTGATCCAGGCAGTCCTGCTCCTCCCGGGAGAATTCTATGGCCACATCTCTGAAGGTCAAGGGTTCCTGAAATCAAAATATACAATTACCACATGGCCAACAGCAGAGCTCTGAACAGGATATGAGGTGAAAAGACAGTTTTTAGGAGCCCCCAGGGTGGCACAAGGGCTTCAGTCTTAACACTATGAAGCTATGACAACCACTGAAGGACGAGTTTGATCCCTGGTCAGGGATATGACTCACATGGCACAGCAGACCTCTCCTGTCTCACCCGCTGCTCCCCTCAGCAGTGTATTTCAATAGACCTGCCTGTTCTGCTCCCCACTATCTCTGATGAATCATCTCATCCCCCCAATCTCCCTCACCTCTGGCCTGTGCCCCAGCAATTTATGTATAAATAAATAAATCTTTTTATTTTTAAAAAAAAAGGAAGACCTGGTTCTGAATGAGAAGAATGCCCTTACCCAGTGAGATCCGAGTTTACACAGTAACAGTCTAATGCACCCACTGAGCACAGAGGATCATTTATGCCCACGAACCACCGTGGATGCTATAATTTCATGATGTCAAATCTGACCCAAGGGCACATATTTGTACAGCAAGGAGGCAGGACAATTGGAAAATTCATAGTAGAAACTGAGCTGAAAGACTGGAAGAAAATTGAAGGCAATGATGAAATACTAAGCAAAGCAAAAACAACACAACAACAAATAGCCAATCATATTTGAACCCTTAGGGTCCATTATATATGTTGACTATTTTATAATTTTTAAAACTGAATACATGACAACTTTTTTGTTTATTTCTCTGAAAGTATAAACAAATTATGAAAAGAATGTATGTGAAATGACTGGCATTTACACTGACATTCACACCAAAAAGAATGAAATAACTGATTATTTCATTAAAGTTAAACAGGAAGAACCTGAACACTGAAAATTATAAAACTCTATTAAAGGAAATAAAACATACAAAGAAATAGAAAGACATCCTGTGCTCCTAGGTGGGAAGAACTAACATCATAAAGGACTTTATTGTCCAGAGCAATTTACAAATTTAATCAATACCTATCCACACATCAAGGAGGTTTGTTGTAAGGAAACATAACAATCACCACATTAATAGCAACCCACAGAAGGTCCCAAATAGCCAAATATCTTGAGAGAAAAGAAGAAAATGGAGACTCCCTGGTGGTGCAGGTGGCTGAGCGCAGCGCTGTGAAGCCTGCACTGCCTCTGCACTGCTGGTTCCATCCCCACTGGCCTCGGAGCAACCCACATGGTGAGCAGACCTCTCCTGTCTCACCCACTGCTCCCCTCAGCAATATATTTCGTCAGTCTGCCTGTTCCCCGCTCTGTCTCTGGTGAATCCTCGCACTCTCCCGGGCATCTGGCCTGTGCCCTGGCTCTTGTATAAATAAAAGAAATCTTTTTAAACCTTTAAAAAAAAAAAAAAAGTACTGGGAGCCACGCTACTCATGTGTCTGACAAAGGTCCGGGCATGGGGCAGATTTCTGAAAAGTCAGGAATCTCTTTAGCTGACTCCTAGATTCTTCTCATTTGTTTATGGCTAGTTTCTACCATTGTTAAAATACGCATTTAAAAGTAAAACTGCAAATACTGTTTAATCAATTACTGAATAACCAAATTGATGGCAAATGGCACTGCATGATATAAATGTTACATTTTTTAATAAAATTAGTAGTTCTCTGCCAAAAGGCAGTAATTCAACATCTGGCCTTACATTAACAAAGTGAAAAAACTTCTGGGAACAAAAGGCTGTAAACATCTCTCAGGCTAATTCCCCTAGATGTAACAATTGATATGGTAGCTGTTAAGAGTATGCATTCAAGAATAAGTTAACAACAATTTTGTGACTGGTTAAGCTAATAACCATGGCAGCACAAATAATGCATTTGGAAATAGTCAGTGTTACAACTACTGATATGTCACGTATTTACCATTTCAAAAACCAAAAGCTATAACCATCTCCAGCCCTGCCCCTGATGAAATATTTGTAGTTCCTTAAAACAACAACCAGCAATCTTACAGAAAATGGAAATTTCCCTTGATCTTAAAGTTAGATAAGGAAACTAGGCTGACTAGATAAGTACAGAAGTAATAGGTAGAAAACTCTTTTGTTAGATTAGGAAAGTTCTTCCCTTAATTGAGAGCTGGAGCTAGGAAAGAGTCAGTGTGGCTTGCCTGGCATTAAAGCCCTCCAAGCCCTTGGTTCCTCAATATCGAATCAATATTAAAACAATATACTATAGGGCCTCCCCAGTGGCGCAGAGGTTGAGCGCTGGGTTGCGAAGCTGCCCGCGGCCTCTGCGGCGCCAGTTCGATCCCCGGCTGCTCCCCGGCCACAGGAGGAGGGCCCCACATGGCGCGCAGACCTCTCCTGCCGCCCGCTGCTCCCCTCAGCAGTGTACTTCAGTCCTTCTGCCTGCTCTGCTCCCCGCTCTGGCTTTGGCGAATTCTCTCACCCTCCCGGGCTTCTGACTGTACCCAGTGCATGTATAAACAAAAACAAACAAACAAATAAATAAATAAACATGCCTCTATTAAAAAAAAAAAAAAAACGGGAAATTTAGATTTAATAAAAAAAAAATATACTATAGATGATTTCTTTATAATAGCCTTCTGTTTTTTGCTTTAATCATTTGGTTATATGTTAGTCTAAACTTCATAGGTTAGTTAGAAAATATCCCTTTGTCTCCCTTCCCCCAGGTAACCTGTCCTTTGTTTCCCCTAGCCCTTAGTTAATCATTCACCATGGCAAACATAGAAATGTTAGTTGCAGTTACATAGGCTTTTTGCTAGTAATATAACTGTTGGGTTGTTTAAAGTAAATAACTATTTTAAGAACATTTGTTAGCAACTGTGCCTTCTTTAAGACAAAGAATAATAAATGTCACAACCACTGCAGGATGGCAAACAGACCTTTGGCTGCTCTTGAAAAACATGTGATGATTGTTATCTTCCTACCTTAATGCATATGCTCATGCACTCACAATTTGTCTTAGTATAAATAAAGAACTGCTGAGACCCTCAGCAGGACGATGCCTGCACCCTGCACCCTGATCCAGTGTCCACATCTCCTCATTCCCCCTGCCCCGCATTTTCTACAATTACGCCAACGCCTTGCCATCCTTCAGGAACCCCTGACACCCAGGCTGCTGCGGCTGGCTCGCAGCAAAAAAGAAAAAGAAAAGAAGAAAATGTAACTATCACACTTCCTGACTTCAAAATATATATAACACCAACAGTAATCAGAACACATTTTACAGGCCTCCCCTGGTGGCGCAGGAAGTTGAGCACAGCACTGTGAAGCTGTCCGCAGCCTCCGCAGCACCAGTTTGATCCTGGCCAGCCAGCGAGGGTCCCACATGGCCCAGCAGACCTCTCCTGTTGTGCCTGCTGCTCCCCTCAGCAGTGTTTCAATAGATATGCCTATTTTGCTCCCTACTCTGTCTCTGGTGAATGTACTCAGCCCCACACCTCAGGCCTGCACCCCAGCTCTTGTATGAATAAATCTTTAAATAACAAAAGAATTTTAAAATAAAAATAAATAAAACAAAATTTATAATGTTGCCATCCAATCTGAGAAACCAACCAATGAGTCAATTAAAAACAGGCAAAGGAACTAAATAAACACTTCGCTAAAGAAGAAATTCTGAGGTCCAACAGACATAGGAATGTTCACTTTAATTTATTGTAATAAAAATGTAAATTAAAACCACACTGAAATGCCACCTCACCCCTTGAAAATGGCCCAAACAAAAAAGAGTGAAATTAACAACGTTGGAGAGGGTGCAGAGAAAAAGGAGCTCTCACCCACAGCTGGCGGCCACGAGAGTGGTACAGTCCCTGCAGATAATGGTGCAGAGATTTAAGAAAAAAAAAAAAGGAAACTCCATATAATCAGCAATACTTCCATAAGTTATTTATACAAACGTGAAAATTCATTACAGAAAGGTTCATCTACACCTATGAACAGAGGAGCAGTGTTCCTAACTGCAGAGCCAAGCTAAAGAAAACAAATCACTCACCACAGATTTATTCATTGCTGCTCTCACAAATGCCTAAGGACTCTGGAAGTGGTGCTGGGAGAGGTGAATGGAATCCAGCAAGAGAGGCAGCTCACACCTGGGTCCTGGAGTGTCCTGGTCCAGAGCTCCCCTCACTGCCTGGGAGAGACCAGAGAGTCACTCATGTGACAGCCATGTTCACACTTGAGAAGGGGCAGGAAAGGACCTACAAGTCCATTACTGGTAGAAAGTTTCAAAATGATTAATCACTTAAAAAAAAATTGATCACGGGCCTCCCTGGTGGCGCAAGGGGTTAAGACACAATCCATGAAGATATCCGCAGCCACTGCAGCACAAGTTGGATCCCGTTGGCCAGGGAGCTATCCACATGGCACAGCGGACCTCACCTGTCTCGCCCGCTACTCCCCTCAGCAGTGTATTACAGTCAGTCTGTTCTGTTCCCCACTCCGTCTCTGGTGAATCCTCTCACACACCCCCACACTTCAGGGCTGTACCCCAGTTCTTGTATGCATAAATAACTTTAAAAAAAATTGGTCACAATTTCAAAGGAAATGATGCACCTAATGCACGTTTTTGGTAGGAAATTCCCAGAAATGGTTCCGTGAGCACTGCTTCCCCAGATTCCTTTCCTTGTACAACCCCCTAGACAATGACTTGGATTTGAGCTGGGATGTTCGCCCAAAGCAAATCAGTGCGCAAGCGCTCAGGTTTAAAAGCACTTTTCCAGGGGTTGTGCTTCTGGGACACTGTCTCCTGGGGAGACACCCGGGGTTAACCGGTCAGGGCACACGGCTGAGCGAAAACCACGGCAATCCCCCCCAAAAGGAAGGTAAATTGTTAACCCAACCAGCCTCAGTCAGGGCATAGGATAACAACAGCCTCCTGTGTCATCAGGCAACACCGCGTAAGTGACGGGAAAAGCCCAAAATTCAGAACCATGGTGGGCCTCCCCTGGTGGCGTAGCGGTTGAGCGCTGGGCTGGGAAGCTGCCCCCATCCTCTGCAGCGCTGGTTTGATCCCCGGCCACCAGCAAGGGTCACACATGGCGCGCAGACCTCTCCTGCCGCCCGCTGCTCCCCTCAGCACTTCACCTCGTCAGTCTAACTGTTCTGTTCCCCGCTCTGGCTCTGGTGAATTTTCTCACCCTCCTGCACTTCTGACTGTACCCAGTGCTTGTATAAATAAATAAATAATTCCTTAAAAAAAATTCAGAACCATCATCTTCCAGCAATAAAACTGCGGGCGTGTTTGCTGAAAGGCAGTAAACTTGGGTGGATCTTTACAGAGAAAAAGTTCAACGAACCCCGTAAAACCACACTCCGGCTTTCTAACAATTCACGGGAGCGGGAAATTCTAAAATTCCACGACCAAACAATCAACAGAACGTCACAATCGCACCAGAACTCCTGAAAATACGCAGGGGTGTCACCTGGGGGGACTCCCCTGTGTCCAGGGCGGGGTCCCCGCAACTCCACCCGCACGCCCGAGCCTCCCCCGCCGGGCGGACCCTCCCGCGCGCCTGTTCCAGGGCCCCGGGGCTCCCCCCCTCCCCCGCCTCAGGCCTCACCCGACGCGCCTCTACCGTGTCCGCAGCCCCCGGGCTCCCCCTTCTCCCCACACCCGCACTCAGGTCCTCAGTTTCACCGCAAACCCAGCCTTCAGACACAAAGTCAGCGCCCAACCCGCGGTCGGCGGCAGCAACGACAGCGCAGGGTCCCGCGCCTCCCGGAAGGAGGGGGAGGACGCGGGGCCGCACCTGCGCAGACCAACCCGGAAGCCCCTTCCCAGAGCCCTTTTGCGGGAACCGCGTGTCCTCGGGCGACTACATTCCCCACAATCCTGTGCGCTGCCCGTCAGGGACCGTCTGGGCGCGCGTCTTCGCCTTGGGGCTCAAGGACATACGAGGTGGCGGGGCCAGGTGGGCGCAGCCCCTCAGATTGCTCTGAAAGGGAACTGCTAAGAAAAAGAAATCTTTCCCTGTTAAGAGTCATAGACCTGTAAATGTAAAGTAAATAACAAGTTTGCTTCCTTAATAAGCATATCTAAACAAGGTCTGGCAGCCCACCAAGCTGATAGATCTCCAAGGCCATCCTCAAAGATCTCTGTCCTTCCCCTTTTCCTGTGTCAAGAATTTGTATGCTAACTAACCAACTTTATCAATGTAAAGTGCTTGTGTAGAAAAGAAACTCTTTGGCTCTAGACCAGGGCTCAGACCTTATGGGACTACCCAGGTCTGAGACCTCAAGCATTAGTAACAAAGCTTTCCTGACCTCACCATTCCTAAAGTACTGCTTGTTCTTCCCCTGCCTGGGTAAAAGGCTAGAATTTATTTCTGCAAACAGTTCCAGGCACAGGAACTGAGTCAGGTTGGCGAGGAAAAGGAGGGGTCCTTGCTTTGATCCCAAAGAAGTGGGTTCCTCTTACTTTGCCCTCCCTCTGTGCTTGAGGAGCTGCATCCCCAGGAGGGTGTTATGGGCACACTTCCTGTTCAGCATCTTGAATAAACTCCATGTAAAGGCGTTTCTCTGTGGCAGTTTTGCCTTTTGGGCGCCAGTGAGAGACCAAGTGCAGAGGCTCCCAGTAGGGACTGTGTACCCTCAGACCCCATTTTTTCTATCCATTGTGTGAGGGTTCAGAGCTGCTGGAGGCCACCAAGTTGAGCCAGGGTTCCCTCCGCCTTTTCTTAAGTCTGCTCACAGTCTCCTCATTTCTCGCTAAATGGTTTTTACTGACATTTTCCATCTTGTCAGGTCCATTTTAAGAGTTATCGGCTGATCAAAAACAAAGCAACTGCTGCCCGAGCCCACTGCTAGCACTGCCTGCCTCTGATGGACTTGCGGCCCAGACACACACGCTCTCTTCCCACACATTCTGTCATTCCTAAGTAATGTCTCCTAACATCTTTACATGTGGCATTTAATATGTATCACAGCCATGAGAACGTGTTCATTCTATTGGCCATGAAAAGGGACTGTTCAAAGAAATAGGATACAATTTTATAGGTCCTGATTGAGAATTTGCTGGGTATTGCTTCTAATTATAATTGTGACTAAAGCCGAATTTGTGAAGAAAGCCTCTCGGGATTACCTGGTGAGTCACAGTTCAAGGAGAGACAAGACAAGAAATGAAAATACAGAAATTTACGACAAAGAGATACTGATTAAAGTCCACTCACACCTTGTGAAGCTACATGGACACATCAGAGTTCAAAAAGGAAAGAGTTGCAGGAAATGGGGCATGTGAATATATTAGGGTACCTAACTGGAGTGCTTCAACTTCACTGAGATTATTCAAGTTAAACCTAAAACGGTAGGACTATTGTCCGCTCTGTGGAGGTTAGGTCCAGGGCCAATCAAGGGGAGGGCTTGAGAAAGACTACCATTGCCAATGCCTGCAAATGAGCTCATGTAAAGAAATTATATTGTGATTCGTCAGGGTGTGTTCTAGGGAATGTAGCAAGATCCTCTGAGGGTACCATGGAGTGCTGGATGAAAGCTCTTGACAATACTCCTATATAATTGTCAATATACACATTACATCTGGTGTTACTAAACGGACCAAAAAAAAAGTGCAGTTGTTGCAAAATACAATTAAACTATTTGAGATTTAAGGACTGTGTGAATGGAGCCTGACACTGTGTTGACAACCAGTTTATTGTTCCTATAGTTTACCTATTCCTTGAACAAGGAGGAATTGGTGAATGTTGATGAAGGATAACATGTAATCAGGGCCTCCCTGGTGCCCTAGAAATTAAGTCTCACCCTTATTACAGCTAAGGCCCTAGTTTGATCCAGGCCAGGGAACTGACCCACATGGACTAACAGTCCTCTCCTTTCATGCCCACTGCTCCCCTTAGCAGTGTAGTTCAGTTAATCTGCCTGTTCTGCTCCTCACTCTGTCGCTGATGAATCCTCTCACCCACTACACCACTGCCCCACATTCTTGTTCTTCTATGCAAAAAAAAATTACAAAAGAATGTTATCAGATATACCTGAGGATATCCACATAAAAATCATTTGGGCTTATGGGCCTCCCTGGTGGCACAGGGGTCAAAGTCTCAGTGCTATCAAGCTGTTGTCAGACACTACAGCATGGATTTGATTCCCAGCCAGGGAGTGGACCCACATGGTGAGCAGAACTCTCCTGTCTCTCCTGCTGCTCCCCTTCTCAGTGTATTTTAGTAGAGCTGCCTGTTCTCTCTGCTCTGTCTCTGGTGAATCCTCTCACCCCCGCCCCCACCTAACCTTGGCCTCGACCTCTGATCTTACATGCGCAAATAAATAAATCTTTTTTTTAAAATCAGCTTTATTGGGCCTCCCCGGTGGCGCAACAGTTGAGCGCTGGGTTGCAAAGCTGCCCGCGGCCTCTGCGGCGACGGTTCGATCCCTGGCTGCTCCCCGGCCACCGGAGGAGAGTCCACCAGCAAGGGTCACACATGGCGCGCAGACCTCTCCTGCCACCCGCTGCTCCCCTCAGCAGTGTACTTCGGTCCTTCTGCCTGCTCTGCTCCCCGCCTGGCTCTGGTGAATTCTCTCACCCTCCCGAGCTTCTGTTGTACCCAGTGCATGTATAAACAAAAAACAAACAAATAAATAAAACATGCCTCTATAAAAAAAAATCAGCTTTATTAAAACATATTAAGTTCACATACAGTCTAAATATTCAGCTACCAGTGTATGCTCTTTGGTAAAAATCAAGTTGCAGGTATTTAAGGAGCATTCTTGTTCTTCTGCGTCTTGGATCCCAATGTTGGTGGTCAACATAGAGGCTCATTACTTAGCTAATGTGCACACACACAATTCTATGCTCTGTTACTGGAAAGTCACCTGTTCTCTCATCATGTACCTGTGAAGATTTCTTTGGGCAACAACATCAAATAATATTCATTACCTCTATTACTACCATGAAGATATATAAGGATTTTAATCAGCTGTCAGTATATTTCCATAGGGAGAAATTGATGAAATGATTTGAACTCTAGCATGTTCCTATGTCTGACATTTATGCCAACGATGAAGCCCATAACTCTTCTTGGTGATTTAGATCAATGTTAGTCACCCAGAAGCAACATCTCCTTTTAGATTTTCTGATACATGGCCCATTACTGTCCTAAACTTACCCTGAAAGTTAGTTATGAACAAATTCATCTACTAAGAGGGTATCTCAGATGTTTGAGGCAGCAAAAAAGCAAACACATGACTTCACATACACAGGGGATAAAGCCAGATAATTAAGAGAATTAGAGCTGAGTTACAATCATGAACTCTGCATAATATACCAAGTATGACTGATAAAATGTAGACAGAAATTAATTATACCTCAACCATCGTATTAAACATTACCTACATTCTCGACATTCATAGGGTTTGGCTCCAATCTGACTTTCCAATGTACAATGAGGGGTGATTTCCTGTAGAATGTTTTCTTTTTTTTTTTTTTTTTTTTTTTTTTTTTTTTTGTTTGTTTGTTTTGTTTATACATGCACTGGGTACAGTCAGAAGTGCGGGAGGGTGAGAGAATTCACCAGAGCCAGAGTGGGGAGCAGAGCAGGCACAAGGACCGAAGTACACTGCTGAGGGGAGCAGCGGGCAGCAAGACAGGTCTGCACGCCATGTGGGACCCCCCTCCGGTGGCCGGAGAGCAGCCGGGGATTGAACCGGCGCCACAGAGGCCGCGGGCAGCTTTGCAACCCAGCGCTCAACCGCTGCGCCACCGGGGAGGCCCTGTAGAATGTTTTCTTACACTTTAGACATTCATAGCGTTTCCCTCCAGTGTCAATCCTCTCATGTTCGGCGAGGGCTGATTTCCAGGAGAAAGTTTTCCTACACTCTTGACATTTCACAGAGTTTCTCTCCAGTGTGATTTCTCTGATGTACAAAGAGGAGTGATTTCCTGTAGAACGTTTTCTTACACTTTGGACTTTCATGGGGTTTTTCTGCTGCATGAGTTGTCTGAAGAGCACCCAGGTATGTCTTGTGGCAGAACGATATCTTACATCCTTTCCATTTATAAGACTTCACTCCTGCGAGTTGTTTTTTTTTTTTTTTTTTGAAGATTTATTTATTTATACAAGAACTGGGGTATAGGCCAGAAGTGCGGGAGGGTGAGAGGGTTCACCAGGAAGAGCAGGGAGCAGAAGAGGCAGATGGACTGGAAACACTGTTGAGGGTAGCAGCAGGCAAGAGAGGAGAGGTCTGCCGCACCATGTGGGTATCTCCCTGGCAGGCCTGGAATCAAACTGACACTGCAGAGCCTGCAGACACCTTCACAGTGCTGCGCTCAACCCACTGTGTCGCCAGGGAGAAACCCTGTGTGAGTTTTGATGTATACTGAGGTCAGTCTCCAGGAGAAAGTTTTCCCACATTCTTTATAGCCAAAGAACCTCTTTGTAGTGCACTTCTCTGATTCCTTTTGTGTAAAGAAATACCAGATGTTTCAGAAGGTTTATCACCTCTTTATACTTTCTCATGCTCAGTAAAAACAGACATTTTAGACAACATTTTGCCACGTGTTATATTCAAAAATATTCTTTCCTAACAGAGCTCTCTGAAGCTGACTGACATGAAATTTGAAGCTGAGTTTACCTCCACTTTCATTACATTTATGCTGCTTATCTTCAAAATTTTGATGAAGATTCTAAAGTACTAGTTTCTGATCAATGTTTCCTCCTTTTGATACATGGAGAGGGAGTCTACCCTACTTGAGTTTTATCTTAACCAATGAAAAGTGCCTTATCATAGGTAGCCCACACTCATTTTATTTCCAGGCAGTCTATCCCATATGAACTCCTCGATGTGTACAGAATATTGTTTCTTTATTGAAGGCTTTCCCTTGTTCAAATAAGTGAAAAGGGTGCTGAAAAGGTGGTATCATCTGATGACCATGATGCTCAGGATAGCTGACATATTCCCTAATCATATGAAAAACCTCAAGTTTCTTTGTAGCATGCATCTCATGAAGCTCAGCAGGGATAAACATCTTCTTACATGCAGCAAAATTCTCAGGCATCGATGCTGAAATGTTTCCATTTCTGACATTCAGGTTCAAACTATGAATTGAATCCAAATTATTTGTTCTCCCAAAGTTCCTCCATGGTTGATGTTTTGCTGTTGGCAACAACAACTTGCCACAAAAGCCTGTCCTGATTTGGCTGGTTGGCCTTGATCAGGTAGTCCACAATATGGACATCTAAAAGTAGATAAAAATAACCATCTCTGTGAACAACATCTAAGCCTTTCCTGTGAATGCTAATATAAAGGCAAAAAGTTGCTTTACTACAACACAAAACAAAGCAGAGTAACTGGTTTTGATTTTCTGATTGAAATTTCTACCCCAAACAAATTAGATAACATTAAATGAATACATTTCATTTCCTAAGGCCAAAACAGGTTGAAAATCAATCAATAATATGTCTTTCATATTGTATGACATTTTAAATTCTTAGAGAAATATTTGGCAAACATATTCAATTAATTCTAGATGAAGATTGTAGCTAGTAGCATTTAATCTACCATTTAGCCTAAATTCCACTGTTTTTATCAGGATAACTCTGTGACTTAGGTGGTACTTTTTGAACAATAATGCTTTCTAGATGTCATAATTTTCCTGGAAAATCTATTTATCAGATGTAAGTGAGGGACATGTTTCAATTACTTCAGCAAGACTATTGCTTTGAAAATAAGGATTCTCCTACTTTTCTTTAGTTTTTACTTCTCCTTAGGTACAGGCCATAGTCATCTGGGTTCTTTTTTCTTTTCTTTTTTAAAAGCACATCATTATCAAGTGGGGGGCGGGGAAGTGGCCTTATAGGAAATCCTTAAACATTACAATACAGGCTTCTCAGAACCATAACAGATACAAAACTCTGGCTCACTCTTTTGTCCAACTTTAACTTCTGCAATCCTGGCCATGTTCATCACCATTAAAAAGCAATTTTTACATCCTTCTGAGATCAACACTCCTGATTGTTTCACTCCATTTCTTGGAACATGTGTTTCAATGTGATAATTCATGGCAGGGGAACATTTTATGTAGTATTTTTGTTTTAGCTATCTCATACTTACATTTACTTACTTATTTGTTTATTTATTTTAAAGATTTATTTATTTATATATACAAGCACTGGTGACAGTCAGAAGTGCAGGAGGGTGAGAGAATTCACCAGAGTCAGAGCGGGGAGCAGAACAGGCAGACTGATGAAGTACACTGCTGAGGGGAGCAGCAGGCTGCAGGAGAGGTCTGTGCGCCATGTGGGACCCTCGCCTGGCAGCCGGGGATGGAACCGGCACAGCACAGGCTACGGGCAGCTTCGCAACCCAGGGCTCAACCGCTGCACCACCAGGGAGGCCCTCATACTTACATTTAAATTGGAGTCCCAAGTATGTATCTTATTCTTTTGTTTTCTTCCCAGTGATTCCCACAAGAGGAGGTGTAAGTGCAAACTGCAAACTCCACTGTCAAGATGTGGGCCCCGCAACCTGAAACTCTTGGTTCCATGGCTTTAGAAACTACAATCTCAGGTTTCCTCTCCTGATCTTCCCTTTCTCTGCTTCACAATTTGCTGGGTGCTCCTCAAGTAATAATTTCAAGGAGGGGGGAGGGTCACAAGGCTCATCATTGGAAGATTATTCATATTCTAAATAATGTTCTATTCAGTCCCCTCTCATTCTATCACATTTGAGTTAATCACCTGTTAAATAAATATACCTTCAACAGATATGTACAACTTCTAACCCAGATAGATTATATAACCATATATAATGCATTTCAAAATGCAATTTATCTCAAACTAGAGCTCAACAATGAAGAAAAGACTCCATCTCCATAAGTAAGCCTTCTGAGCACGTACTCTAACGTAACAACCTCCATGGTTTTCTCTCATCCTGGCAAAATATTCTCTGTGGTTTTATCTCACTATTTGATACATGTATTTGTTGCATTTTCCTTTCTCATAGAATATAACTTCAATAAAGCACAGAATATTTCTTTGATTATTTTATTTCACAAACACAAAATTTACCAGCGTCTAAAACTTCCCGTTAACGTGCTGAAAGAAATAAATGGCTGAGGAAATACCTGAACAAAAACGGTCTGTGAGAATACAGTAATAATGAGAATATGGAAAATGTGCCTAATGCAGAAAAAGTTAGAGAATAGTCAGGAATGAGATACTGGATAGATCTACAAAAATTAACACCATTAAAAAAGTAGGGGAAGATTGACAAGAGAGTAATAATCAAAACTGAATGATGAACCCATCTGATACACGCAGACATATTGTGCAAGGTTTGGGTATTGGGATAAGTAGCTCCATGTGGCCATGTCTGCCTGTCTCAGGTCCTCCCAGCCTCCCTGCAAGGAATATACTGACTGACCTGAGAAGTGCGGCTTTGGGGGTTCTTCTATGGTCGTTGGCTCTGCTCCCTGCTCAAAGCTGATGCTCACCTCAACATTATTAACACAATGTACTTAAACAAAAAACAATTTTGGGGCCTTCCTGGTGGGGCAAGGGGTTAAGCACAGCACTAGGAGGCTATCCGCAGCTTCTGCAGCAGGAGCTCAATCCCTGGTCAGCCAGGAAGCTACCCACATGGAGCAACAGACCTCTCCTGTCTCGCCCACTGTTCCCCTCAGCAGCGTATTTCAGTCTGTCTGCCTGTTCTGTTTCCCACTCTGTCTCTGGTGAATCCTCTCACCCTCCTGCGCATCTGGCCTGTACCCCGGTTGTTGTAAAAATAAATAAATGTTAAAAAAAGAAAAGAAATACATAAACGGAACATCATGGCCAAAAGGAATGAGCTCCTCTATGAGAGGAAGTCTGGATTTTGAAAGATCAACAAAATTGACAAACCCTTAGTTCAATTCATTAATCAGGAAAGGCCTAGGACTCAAGTGTCAAAGAGGAGACGGCCCCAAGGGACAGCAAGACAAAAATTCCAAGACAAAATAGGATCATGTCTGCAGCCACTGAAACAGAGATTCTCATACATTTAGGATGCTTTCCTGTTGACCACCGCATCTCTCAGCTGTCTTCCACTGGATTCATTCCACATACCTGGGAGGATGATGGGATTTGCACTTCTCTTCACATCCCTGGGCTCCATCTTTTGCTCCAACAAGGTGACCAGGTCGGGCTTAGACACCGCAAGACCTGTTTATTAGGACAGGTGATATGAGATGACCTGGAGATTCTCAATTCCCAATACAGTATTGTGCTTAGTAGAGAGGAGAGTATACAAGGTTCTAGAAAAGGATCGCTGCAAATACTTTTTCTGACAGCACCTTTACCAGAAATCATTTAAATTTTCATATCCTGAAAACCATTTCTAGACCTCTGAGTCCTAGGAATGTGGTAGAAGCTGGTATTTTAGCTTGTAGCAATAATGCTTAAAACACTGATTCTTGAATGAGCACTAATAGAGAGCGCAGGTTGCAGATCACCCTAAGAAAGGAGAAGTTTAAGCCATGATGAAACATCATAAGACTTTCTTTCCAACAAAGCCACACTGTTTTTCTTTAAAGTAGGGCTCTAAAAGTATCGTACAAATCTGGACATCCTTGGAGCACATCCACACATGGCACAGGAAATGCTGAGGGCAGATGAGAAAATCTGGAGGGCTATTCTCCTCACCCAAGGACACCAGGTTCTTGTAGGTCTCTAGCAACATGTCCTGCTACAATTTCCACTGCGCCTGGTCCAGGCAGTCCTGCTCCTCCTGGGAGAATTCTATGGCCACATCTCTAAAGATCAAGGGTTCCTGAAATCAAAATATACAGTTACCACATGGCACCAGCAGAGCTCTAAATAGAACACGAGGTGAAAAGAGAGTTTTGAGGGGGCCCATAGTGGCACAAGGGGTTCAGTCTCAGCACTATGAAGCTATGACAACCTCTGAAGGATGAGTTTGATCCCTGGCCAGGGAACTGACTCATATGATGCAGCAGACTTCTCCTGTCTCCCCACTGCTCTCCTCAGCAGTGTATTTCAGTCAATCTGCCTTTTCTGGTCCTCACTCTGTCTCTGGTGAATCCTCTCAACCCCCACACCTCTAGCCTGTACCCCAGTTCTTGTATGCATACATAAATAAATTTTTAAAAAAAAACTCCATACAGAAAACTAATTTCAAATGGATTAATTATTTGGACATAAGAGCCCAAAGCATGCAGTACTGAAAGCAAATAAGGGGTACACTACAGGACAGCTGCTATGAAATGTATTAGGGAACACCATCCCAATACCAAAGGAACCAAAAGCAAGTTTCACAAGTGGGACAACACCAAACCTAAAAGCTTTTGGAACTCAAAAGAAAGCAGCGCAGGAACAGAATAGAAAAAATATTTGCATGCAACACATCTGACAAAGGGCTCATTCCAAAATATATAATGCCCTCACCTAATCCAAGAAAGCAACCAATGACTCAATTAAAAATGGGCAAAAGAACTAAACAAACACTTCGCTAAAGAGGAAATTCTGAGGTCCAACAGACATAGGAATGTTCACCTTAATTTACTGAAAGAGAAATGTAAATTAAAACCACACTGAAATGCCACCTCACCCCTTCAGAATGGCCCAAATAAAAAAGAATGGAATTAACAACCCTGGAGAGGGTGCAGAGAAAAAGGAGCTCTCACCCACGGGTTGGTGGCCATAATTGGTACAATGCCTGCAGATAATGGGGCAGAGATTTCTTAAAGAAATAAAAATGGGGGCCTCCCCTGGTAGCACAGGTGGTTGAGCGCAGTGCTGTGAAGCTGTCCGCAGCCTCTGCAGTGCTGGTTCAATCCCGGCTGGCTGGGCGAGGGTCCCACATGGTGTGCAGACCTCTCCTGCCACCCGCTGCTCCCCCTCAGCAGTGTATTTTGTCAGTCTGCCAGTTCTGTTCCCCCGCTCTGGCTCTGGTGAATCCTCTCACCCTCCTGTGCATCTGGCCTGTGCCCTGGTTCTTGTATAAAGTAAATGAAAAAATCTTTAAAAAAGAAAGAAAGAAAGAAAGAAAGAAAAATGGAAATTCCATATTTCAGCAATACCTCTCTAAGTTATTTATCCAAATGTGAAACCTCATTACCAAAGTATTTATCTACACCTAAGAGCAGAGCAGCACTGTTCCCAACTACCAAGCCAGGCTAAAGAAAACAAATCACTCACCAGAGATTTATTCATTGTCTGCTGCTCTCACAAATGCCTAAGGACTCTGGAAGTGGAGCTGGGAGAGGTGAAAAGAGTCCACAGGAGAGGCCTGAGGCAGCTTGCACCTGCATCCTGGAGTCTGCTGTCCAGAGTGCTCTCCACACTGCCTGGGAGATCAGAGAGTCACGGCATGTGACAGCCGTTCACACTTTGAGAAGGGGCAGGAAAGGATCCACAAGTCCATTACTAATAGTATTTGGGTTGACAATTTACCGTAAGTTAATAAAAACTGATACTTCCTAAGATTGACTAGTAATTCATGTGAAGAACTAAACAAAAGTTTCAAAGATGATTAATTATTTAAAAAAATTGGACGCAGTTTCAAAGGAAAGGATGCAACTAATGTACTTTTCTGGTAGGACACTCCCAGAAATGGTTCAGTGAGCCCTGCTTCCCTGGGTTAGTTTCCTTATACACCCCCTTTGGCAATGACTTGGATTTGTCCTGGGATTGTTAGGAGGAAATGCTGGAGACAAGCTCCAGCTAGAAGTCGTGTCAGGGATCTCAGAAAGGAGAGGACGGAGTTGGTGACGTTTTTTCGGAGGGCTGAGGGGAAGTGGAGCCAGGTAGAAGTGAGGTAGACACAGACACTCTCACTGGTGCAAGTATCTCCTGCTGAGGGTCTCAGCAGGTCTTTATTTATACCTTAAGGCGAGGTGGGATTACATCAGCTTAAGCACTGAAGCAGAGCAAAGACAATCAATACATATTTTCTCATGACCATGTAAAGACTCCCTTGGCCTTACACCTGTAGGCCATTTTTTTGGTAACCTAATTAGTGTCCTAGGTACAGTTCATTTACTAGCATGATCAGTCATACAAGACAGCACAACATTTGGCAACAATTAAACTTTCCCAGTTACAAAAGTGGGTGTAAAATTCCAATTCTATATTCATTTACTAAAATCAATCTATCTCCTAGCACTCAATTAACTTGGTTAATATATTAATTACTTCAAAGTGGTCTAAAACAACTCATCAAATCTATGTAAGTTCTACTAAAGTCTTAACTAGAAATTCCTAACCTCCACGCGGCCTGCGAACTATTGACCTCTTGCATACACCAGGAAATGTTGCTGCCAACAGGTACCCCCCAGGTTAGCCTATGGTTTCCAAGTACAGCCTGGTTCAGGGCAGCTTGTTCTCCATAGTTCTCAGGGCCGAAAACATTTCTTTCCTAACTATACCTTTAACAATATTTACATTTTTTTTGTGATAGTTCATGCGTAAGAACAATAAGCCAATTGTCACCTGGGTCCGAATTAGGTTTTCACAGGCCAATTAATAACTAACTTACTTCAGCATTAATCAAGAACAAAGAGGAGAGCTTTAGCAGGTGTTGCCATGGAGACTCACTAGTTCAGATCTTCTTTGGGAAGTACAAGAACTCCTCTTTCTGGGAAGTACAACTTTCCCTCTTCGGGGGAGCACAGACTCCCTTCTTCTCAGGAGTCTCCCCCAATGCCCGGACCATGTCAAGAGACAGCATGGGAGGTGCAGCCTGCCGCAGGGAAAGGATGTCCTGAGCACACTCCATACAGGCTTTGTGGACTCCACCCCCACTCCAGACCAAAGACATCAGGACACTGAAAATGACAAATCCCACCATCACCAAAAGGAGGGTTGCTGGGACCTGAGGGCGGAGTTAAGCTGTTAGGGTTGGTATAAAACCAGACATGGGCCTTGGGTCTGGGCCTTGGGTCGCTCTCTTGGCTTCACATGGCTCTTGGCTCTCCGCTAGCTTTCAATTGGGATTCCAGGTTGGGGATGGGTATGAGGCATCTAAGAATGTAGCTCCCTCTTTTCTCCCTGAGTTGCATTTCCCCTTCCCTTATAAATAAACCTTTTATTAACCTCTTGTGTTTGCCTGCAGTTGAGTATTAATAAGCCCCTTTTAAGCGCAGGGGTGAGGACCCACAGTCAGGCAACCCGTTTTATATCAGTGTCGCCCTGTAACAGGATGTTTGGCTAAAAAGAATCACTGGGCTGCGCATAGAATGAAATGGTCTTTTCTAGAACTCCTTGCCGTCTGGGACACAGTACTCCTGGGAAGACACCCAGCGTTAGCTGGTCAGGGGACATGGATGAGCGACAGTCATACAAATCCACCGAAAATGCAGTGAAATTCCTACCCAGCCGGCCTCAGTCAGGACAACCACAGCCTCCTGTGTCATCCCGTCACACCGGGTAAGTAACGGGAAAAGCCCAAAATGCAGACCCATCAATTCAAGAAATAAAACTGCGGGCGTGTTTGCTGAAAGGCAGTAAACTTGGGTGGATCTTTACAGAGAAAAAGTTCAACAAACCCCGTAAAACCACACTCAGGCTTTCTAACAATTCACGGGAGCGGGAAATTCTAAAATTCCACCAACAATCAACAGAACGTCACAATCGCACCAGAACAACTGAAAATACGCAGAGGTGTCACCTGGAGGGGACTCCCCAGTGACCAGGGCGGGGTCCCCGCAACCCACGCCCAAGCCTCCCCTGCCGGGCGGCCCCTCCCGCGCGCCTGTTCCAGGGCCCCGGGGCTCCCCCCCTCCCCCGCCTCAGGCCTCACCCACGCGCCTCTACCGTGTCCGCAGCCCCCGGGCTCCCCCTTCTCCCCACACCCGTACTCAGGTCCTCAGATTCACCACAAACCCAGCCTTCAGACACAAAGTCCGCTCACAACTCGAGGGGAGAAGCACCACCTCCGGGAAAGAAGGCGAGGACCAGGCTCCGCACCAGCGCAGACCAGCTTCGAGGCCCCTAAGCAAGCCCGAGGCGGGAGCCGAGGCGGGAGCCGCGTGTCCTCGAGACTACGTTCCCCACAATCCTGTGCGCTGCCCTCGGGAACGTCCGGGGGCGCGACTTCCCCTCCTGGGGCTCAAGGGGATAATGGGTGGCAGGGACCGGTGGGCGCAGTCCAGGAACTGAGTGAGGTTGGCAAGGAAAAGAAAGGAGTTCGTTTTGATCCCAGAGAAGTGGGTTCCTCTTACTCTGCCCTCCCCCTGAGCTTGGGGAGCATCCCCAGGAGGGTGTTACCGGCGGCGCACTCCCTGGAAGGCACCTTGAATAAACTCCATGTAAAGGCGTTTTTCGTGTCTGCTTTGCCTTTCTGGGCGACAGTGAGAGACCAGGTTTGGTGGCTCCCAGCAGGGACTCTGTACCCTCAGACCCTATTCTCTCTGTGCACCGCATGCTTGCCCAGAGCTGCTGGAGGCCGCCTGGTTGAGCCAGGGCACCTCGGCCTATTTCTTAAAGCTCTGAGTCTGAGCTGCTCCCAGTCTCATTCTCACTAAATGGGCTTTTCAGGTCATTATCCATCCTGCCAGACCCATTTTAAGAGTTGCTGCCTCCTAACCAAAAACTAGGCAATGGCTGCCTGACCACTACCATCACTCCCTGCCTGTGACAAGCATGCGGCCCAGACACAAACAGATGCATACTCTGCGCTCCCATATGCCCATAATATGAACACATACATACACACACTCTTCCCACACATTCTGTCATTCCTAATAATGTCTCCTAATATATTTACATGTGGCATTCAATATGTATCACAGCCATGACAATGTTTTACAGGCCATGAAAAAATATTCAAAGAAATAGGATACAATTTTAAAGATTTATTTATGTATACAAGAACTGGGGTACAGGCCAGAGGTGCAGGGGTTGAGAGGATTTGTTAGGGGGAAAGGATGTCCTAAAGCTAATTCCATACAGGCTTTGTGGACTCCACCTCCACCCCAGGCCAAAGCCAAAGACCTGGGAACTCCAAATCCCATCACCACCAAAGGGAAGGTGGCTGGGACCTGAGGGTGGGGTTAAGTGTTGTGCCCAAGATCTGCAGACTCGGCGAGCATAGCCTCCAAGAATCCAAAGACAGCTGATGTAAATGCAAAAGGGAGTTTATTACGGGCTCGAGACCGGCCCCCGACACCCGCCAATGCAACAGCAGAGGTCGAGAGCCCCGAACAGAGGAAGCAGGGGTATCTTATAGGGTCGCGAGTGGCGCGGACTTTGAAAGAAGCTGGCAATTACTCACTGGCTACTACAAAGGCATTTTGGTGCGCGCGGTTACAGTTTCAAACTGATTGGACTGTTAGAGATGCTGTCCCATTTATGGACAGGACTGCCCTCATTGGCGGCTGGGGTGGTCTGCTTTTTCGTCACCAAGTGGAGTGAGGGTTGTGACTGCTGAAACTATCTCCGGAATGCTGCTGGACAAGGAATAACATATTAAGGTGGAGGATATACAAAATGGCGAAACCTCGGCTAAGCTTGGTTCCACATTCCCCCATTTTTTTTTTTTTTTTGAAAAACGGCTAGTCAGCTAAGAAAACAACAGCTACCAAGCCTTTTATCCGTTAGTCAGTCTCAGAATTATGGTTAAGTTCAGCCACATAATGTGTTCACAGGTTTATAGGTACAGGAAAATTTAAAATTGCCATTTTTATACAAAACATTGACATTTTCTGGGTCATCTCAGACCACGACCTCTGAAAATCAGACGCTAAACCATCTATCTAGTCAGGAAGAGGTATTATCTTCAGTTACAAATGAGAATTACGAATTACTCTGCTCAAACAAGGGATTTCTCTTTAGTTAGCCAGTCACAGAGCTATTCATTTGGTCACTAAATATCAGCTATTGAATAAAACAGGCTGCCACCCACCAGTTTTAATACTAACCCCTTCTCATTTTCTCCTTGCATAAATGAGTCTGCTGCTCCAATTAAAACACTCTCTGTTATCACTTGAAGGAAATCAAGGCCCACGTTAATACATTCCCTTAGTTGTTTTTATCTCTGAAGCCTTCCTAAACTCTTCAGAGGTCCCCTCCTGCACTGTCCCTGAAACTGCCTAATTACCCTAACTTGCCCTATGTCTCATTCCTCCCCTTCTGCGAATGGAGCCCCTAACTGTAGTCAGGGAAAGGGGCGTCGTTCTGATCAGTAACTGCTTCCTGCTGAAAGTGGGCGATGAGGGAAAACAGTCAGGGCTCCACCGCAGGGCGATGATCTAAGGGACCTCGAAAGGACAGTGGAGGCTTCATAGTTCGATGGTCTCCAGGCGAGAAATGACCTCGATGAAGGCATTGAGGATGTATGGCCCAAGCAAGAGAAAAACAAAAACAAAAGATTTCAGTTCAAGAGTAAGGAGGTCACAATTTTTTTTTTTTAAACTTTAGCCATTAACAGGTCTAGGGCTTTAGGGTTTTATACATACTTAATTTTACTGCAGTTATTAAAATGTGGCCCTCTAAATGTTAGTACATAAAATGTTAAGTTTAAACATAATAAGGTAATTCTCCAAGACGAAGACTCAGGACATAAAAACTTTGATTATTATTGCACCTATTTTTACAGAAAAATGGAAATTTTACATGATAATTTTTTTTTAAATGAGGTTAATTCAGATTTTTAAAATTTATTCATTTATATAAGCACTGGGTACAGTCAGAAGCGTGGGAGGGTGAGAGAATTCACCAGAGCCAGAGCGGGGAACAGAACAGGCAGACTGACAAAATACACTGCTGAGGGGAGCAGCGGGCGGCAGGAGAGGTCTGCGCACCATGTGGGACCCTCACCGCTGGCCGGGGATCGAACCGGCACTGCAGAGGCTGCGGGCAACTTCGCAGCCCAGCGCTCAACCGCTGAGCCACCAGGGGAGGCCCATACATGATAATTTTTTTAAATGTGAACAGACAAGTTGCAAAATCACAGACTCACCGGTACCAATCAAAATCTGCAATGAACAGTTCCTTTGAACTGATGCTCAACATCAGTGCACAACGAGACCTGGCCAACCATGATCATGCAAACAAAAATTCTTCACAATTATATATTTATGTTTTATAAAACGGTCTTAAAGATATACTTTCATAAACATTTTTGGTGCAACTTTGTCAATGACAAAGAAACACAAAGCTATTTTTTTTTTTTATTTAACCACTGAGAATGTGCAAACAAGTAGCCTCGTAGCGAGCAAGGTAGCAGTGCTGTAAAATGTCTTGGCTCAGTCTGGCCATCTTTACTAGTGAGGGGGACAATCGACCAGTAGGTCAATCCAAAGAATTGGAGTAAGGTAGAGCAAGTGGCCCCTTATTTACCAAAAAGATGATCTTTTTGTCTGCCACTTCTAGGGTCACCCGAGGCTTATCCATATAAACAGTAAACAGGGGAGCTTGTCTCACCTCTGGGCTTCTTCAGAGAAGGTCTTCTCCTGCACTGGATTCTTCATCAGAAGCAGCTGACCGTCAAGCCTGTCCTCCCATCCTGGCCCGTGGTTTGGGCTGGCCCCCTCCCTCTCTGGAGAGTGGGACAGTCCCCTTTTTCAGAGCCTTGTATGATGGCACTGAAGGCATGGCCCTGGGGACAGCTTTTTGCAGCTGAGGTATCTTGGTTGCTGGCAGTGGATGCAAGCTGGCAGCCCATTGAGAGGTTGAGGTCCCGAATGCCCGAGGGCGCATGGGGCCTTGGGTGAGTCTGAGGTGGCAGAATACTGTGATGGCAACTGCCATCTACTGGGCCCTTTTCTTGCCTCTCTCCCTTTCTTCTTTTTTTTTTTTTTTTAAGCAAGTCCCCTCCATATTACTGTAGGC